AAAAAAAAAAAAAAAGAATGAAGAGACCCTCAAAATATTAAAGAACGTTAGTTATCCAAAGTCTCCCAAAGAGGTAGAGGGAGATTCTATGGAGCGAGCTGAGTGAGCGCATTCTAATCGTCCACAGGGGTAAATGTGGAAGCGGCCCATTCCGGGATGTGCTACTGACCAAGTCCCTGCTACCTGCAGCCTGCAGAACCAGGGTTCTTTCTGGGAAGTTGTGTTCCTCAACACAATGACTTTTCTCACTCTCAAAGTGCCACAGGTCTGATTTATTTTTTTTCATACATTTATATAATCATTGGCAGCCCGATGCCAGTATTCATGTTAGAGAAAGGTTTGTATTGGTCAAGGTTGCCTTTAAGTTGATTAATATAACGCCTTATTTCATTTGTAATCATAAAACATTATTCCAGCAAAAAAGGTACATGCTCTCTTACTTTCAGGAGCTCTGACAGTATAGTGGTTGTGAGTCGGGCTGCAAACCTCAAGGTCAGCAGTTTGAAACTACCAGCAGCTCCACGGAAGAAAGATGAGGCGTTCTGCTCCTGTAAAGATTTACAGACTCGGAAACCCTGTGCGGGGACGATATGAGTCGGAACTGACTCCACGGCACATAACCGCCACTATCACTCTTCGTTTGTTCTCCTTACTTTAAAAATCACTGGAATAAGTGAAAAAAAAGCAGCTCTTCCAGGAGCAAAGGAGAGCAGAAATAGAGAGAAAACCAACGCGCCACACACAGCCTGCATAATTCTGCCCAACATTGCTGTCCCTTTCTCCCCTGCTTTGCCATGGGGCTTGCTTAGAAGAAATAGACTTGGGATCAGTGGACATGAATGGCAAGTAAGGGAGGTGGTGGGATAGGGCCTAATCTTTCAATCCCTGGACATGGGCTGTCCTAACACTGAAGTTGCCCTTTGATGACTGAGCGCTGATCTGGACCTTGGCTTTGCCAATAGCTGCCAATCACCATTCATTCATTCTTCCATCCAACAATTCCTTACTGAGTGTCTTTATCCGTGAGACACTGTACTAGGTACATGGTTTAAAAAAAAAAGGCACATCTCTACCATCTTAAACCTCACCCTGCCACATACAAGTTTTATTGGGGTTGATCCCCCTGTTTATTTGAGGCTACCTACTAAACAAGATTAATCTGGTATGGAACAGAGGATCCCAAGAACATCAAGATGAAGAACAGGAGGGGAACATGAGCTCCTACCCAGAAAAGCAGTGACGGCAGAGGCGATCGCAGAGAGAGACAGAGCAGCTCTAGACCCAGGGACTGAGAAAGGTTAGGTGCCTGCAGGCAGGAGGCTGGTTTGCAGAATGCGCCCTCTAGATATTTAAATGAACACATATGTATATTTTTTCTATGTGTACAACAAATATTTTTGTTTTGTTCATTTATGAAAAATAATATATAAAAGGGAAGCCACAGGGTGGAAGCAGGCTAATTGTTGCTTCAGGGAGGGGAGTATAGTCACTGAGATGAAACAAAATGTTATGATTGGTTGAAAGAAAAGCTGATGATCTTGTCTGTTTATCTTCATTCAATTCACAATAAAAAGTTTTTGTGTTTTTAAAAGACTAATCTGTTATATAATGAGGACCTAAGGAATCCTCAATTGGACTGGGATAATGGGGTCACCCAAAGTGGAGGGAGCAGAGTTGCTCTCCCAGTAAGTAGGTCTGGAAGGGGGTGCTAAAGCCCCAGGCCAAGGTGCCTCCAACCCAAAATTCAGAGTGTCTGCAGGCCAGGGATCCTGCCTAGATGGTCTCAGAAACCAGAAGAATTCTCTTGAAGCCTTGACAGCTGATACAAATTGTTCTG